AGTTTACCGGGCCCGTTCAATTCATCCGTTAGGTAGAGGTAGCAACAACTGCCCAGCATCACGTCCAAGTTTGAACTACTACTGGAGGATTGATCCTACCCTACAATTTTAACACCGCGACAACTACTAATCCCACCGCCGTGTTACCACATCGTAGCCGATATGCCGTCCGGTAACAAGGGCAAAAACCGCTCCGGCGGATCGCTGTCGCTCAAGACCTCCAACAAGATTGTCAGAAAGCAATTATACGTCAAGCAAAAGAAGGAGCAGGGAAAGGAACGCCACGAGGAGCGTCACCGCCGGAGGAAGGAGGAGGCCAAGGATCCCAAACTCAGAGAAGAGCGCCTCGCAAACAACCAACCCTTGACCATTGAGAGGAAACGTGTGTGGGATGATGTTGACGACGACAGCCTGGGCGTCGCTGTGGATGTTGCCGAGCTCAAGAGAAGGCGCTTGGAGAAGGAGGAGGCCGAGGCTGCCAGGCTAGCCGATGGAGTTACGGAGGAGGATGAGGAGAAGGACGACGATGCCGATTCTATGTTGGACTCGGACGAGGAGGGCGATGACGACGAAGATGCCGAGGAGCGCATCGAGAGACTCAGACAGGAGCGTGCGCAGAGGAAACCCAGCATCGCTCCTTCGACCACGTCGACAAATCTAGACATGACTCCCGACTCGCTCACACGACAATTCCCCAATCTCTTCAACGAGGAGCCCCCAGTCGACCCCAAGATTCTGGTCACCACCCATTTGAACGGCACCATTCACAAGGAGGCGGAGGACATTGCTGCCATCTTTCCCAACAGCACGTACATCAGACGGAGTGCGCACGCTTATGGACACAAGTATAGTGTTCGCGAGATCGCAAAGTTTGCCAAGAGTGAGTAGCGCACCCAGGTTGGAACTTTGTTGCCCAAGAAAAGATTGCTAATACATGCCTGAATTGTTACAGACCGTGGATACACGATTCTCATGATTGTCGGCGAAGATCTCAAGAAGCCTAGCTCCCTGACCGTCATCCATCTCAACGGCGAAGATGTTGCCCCTGGTCCTTCGTTGACATACACCATCCGCAATTACCTGCCTGGAAAGGCTCTCCTTGGCCACGGTAACCCCACAAACCACTACGTAAGCCGTCCATCCTGATTCCCAAGTGCATTAAGTATAGGACATCGAGACTAAGTATCGCAACCAAAAACTACACAGCCCGAGCTTCTCCTCAATGGATTCAAGACCCCTCTCGGTATCCTCGCCGCTAAATCCATGCACACCATGTTCCCTCCCAGGCCCGAGCTTTCGGGTCGCCAGGTCGTGACACTGCACAACCAGCGTGATTACATCTTCTTTCGCCGCCACCGCTACGTCTTCCGCGAGGCCCGCACGACGGAGAAGAACGTGGTTACTGCGGAGGGCAAGGAGATGGAGGGTATGCAGGGTATCCGTGCTGGTTTGCAGGAGATTGGACCCCGTAAGTCTTGATACCGCGGAAAACCATAGTTTTGGCGGATGAACCGAAAGTGGCTGACTTGTTATGATAGGATTCACTCTCAAGCTTCGTAGAGTGGATAAGGGTATCGGTCGGGCTGGCAGCGAAGGAGAGGATGCTTTGAAGTGGGAGTGGAAGGCCAAGATGGAGAAGGTTCGCACGCGCTTCAACCTCTAAGGGGGCTGATCATGATGGTAGTATTGGTGATACCCTTCTTTCAGGATGCCATCATCTCTATTGGCACTGGAGAGTATTTGTCTTATTCAAAGTGTGTATGTGGCGTTATCGGTTCACAAAAGGGTTTGGGAGGAAGGCATGATTCATCAATATCAGGTCACTATGACTGTACTTCAAGACTACCTATTTTCTGTGCATGTACCGCCGGTTTCCTCTCCCTTTCTATAATTTATGACCAGCCTCCTTGGCTTTCTCCTTGAGCATAGCCACTGGATATCTAACCCAGCAACGACAGGTCAGCCATTCTTCTCGGCATCATCGGCAAGAGAAGCTGGAGATGCCGCCGAGTTTGCGGTGATAGTGGGCGATCCAGATGGTGTAGAGGGACGAGCCGAGGATGCCGAGAAGTGAGAAGAGGATGCCCTAGGGGGTTATGGTTTCGACTTGCTTTTGGGTTTGATCTGTTGCTGAACCAGGTACGGTTTCGGTTGAAGGAGGTAAAAGGTAGGGTATCATAATGACTGACTATCCACACCCCGCACACAAGCTGGGACCAAAGCCAACATCGCTCTCTCGGGTAAGACGGAGTGGTAGAGAACGTGATTCGTCACGCCACGGTTGGCGTGAGCAAGATCCAAGCGAGCTGGTAGAAGGTTACAGAATTAAAAGGTATTAGCCAATTAGGGAGGATCACATCGAGGGACATGGCCACGCTGAGGGGAGTGTCTCGGGGAGAGATGGAGCGAGGACGAAGAGCGAGAGGGGAGGTCGTGATAGGAGGGAGAGGGTCAGGTAGGTGGTGAGGAAGTGGAAGGTTGCGAAGGAGAGCTGGGTGAATTGGAAGGATGGGGTGGAGAAATGGACTGAATTGTGAAAACCTGGGTTGGTTCGGTTGTTAGTAAGGGACTGTTGGGAGAGGAGAGCAGGGAAAGATGAACAATCAATATTGAGACTATGATGTTGACCGCCATTCAGATGAAGGCGGGTGCGGGAGAGTTTTCTCTAGATGGTCGATGTGTTTGGTTTTCCTATTTAGAAAGCAAGAGGCTTTAATCTTATTTATCGATCTTTATCAACTTTGAGGTCTCCCGGTATCTTGGGCTTTTCGAGATGAAAGCTGTCATTTCCGATTCGGGTGTTTATCTCGCTGGTTCTGATTGAACTAGCTCACTCTGAGGGTGACGATGCGCTTGTGGCCGTGTTATCTTGATCTCCTAACATCTCGTTCGTCAAGTGTTCCGGTATTCTTGCTAGGGAAATGTTGAAGTTAAAAATTAGGTGACGGGCAATAGTATGATGCTAGACCGAGACGGTAGCTCTTTCTTCGGATAACGCGGGTATCAGGGTCACATCGATCAGTTACCAATCGGCTATAACATGAGTGTGAAATCAATATATATGGAAGAAAATGTCAAGCCCTCACGGAAGAGGAAAAGAAGATCACATCGACCACGGGTCTCTGTGTAAGACAAGATCCGATAAACAGGACCCAAGTACACAAGCCTTTCCAAAACATCTCGTATGTCTAGACTACTTCAACATATTCTGGGGCCCTCGGCATTAGCAATGATTTTGGTGCTGCATCCGAAACTGTTTCTGTCTCGGCTTTAGAGAGTTTCCTTCCGTGGATGAACCAGAGTGTCCAGTGTGCCAAGACGAGGAGATAGCCATCATATCCATCGCTCAGTGAAATTTCGGCTCAAGTGACACTGGGTCAAGTTCGTACATGAAAATGCAACACGGTTCAGCACAGCTTCGAGCGACTTGACGTCTCGATCCGCGATGACCAGCATACAGGCCGATACATGTGCCAATGTGGAGGTGGGTGTGGTATCCTGGCTGCAGTGCAGGCCGTTGAGAATGATGCGCCTCGCATGAAGCTAGTGGAAAATCTCGTTTACGGCGGAAAAGTGCTCAGACAGAAAGAAAACGGTTTCTTCAGGAAAGAAGGCGTGTGTTTGCTGGCATTGATTGGGTCTTCCATTGTCTCGTTCATAGTGGCCAAAGGGATGAAGACCAGATGGATATGTAGGAGGAAGGCCAAGGGTTAGGTTATCATTTGTAGAATGGCCGTTATGACGCACTGCAGACCTCCACCAGGAGAGCGGAGAACCCTAAACTTTACACTACACTAACGTGGAGATGGTGTATGGGGAAATCGGCGGCCAGTGGACTTTTATGCGGGGCAGGAATGGAATTTCAACCGCGCCTATCAGGAACACAGAAGTTGGGTACGTATTCCCATGCTTTTTCCACTTCAAGCTGTCGAGTCATTGAATTAATTCAACCTGCAGTTGGGCTATGCCCCCGTGGGGACTCGGGGGCATATCGTTATTTAAAGCCCGAGTGGTGGTGATAACCAAGTTTCAGTTCAGGGGCAGCACCGCAATCGTCCCAAGTCCCAGAACAAACCGGGCAGAAACCTTGGACTGCCCGTCGTTGAAGTGTGGCAGTGACATCCTCCCGCGGATCTTTGCCCGTAGCGTCAGGCAACTTTCAGGGCTGTACAGGCATGTTTACTTTGCTTCCATTGGTAGCAAGTCAAAATTGAATTCTCTAGAAGAGAACGGAACCCAAACCACAAAATCAAAACACAAAAGTGGCAAACCCCAACCTTCCATTGCTTCTCTTCTCCCATAAAATTATCATCATCATCACTCTCTTTCTCACGGGTTACGCACCCTCTTATCCCCAGCCGAGGTGGTATACCGGTGCGCATACCGAATCGGTGCACCGAGTCTTGGGTGTCCGGAGGGCCAGGGTCCGCCAGGGATTAATGCGACCATTACCATTACGACAATTACGAGAGCTTGACTTTCTTCCACCACATTCATGCCAACTTGGTTGTGTCACTGTCACGCCGTTGTCACTCGTTTGCTCCTCGTTTCTTCAACCTGCGTTTCTTCTCAGTTCCGCCCTCATCATTCGCATGGCGCGTTCAGTCCGTGACTACTACTCTCGACCCTTTCGAAGACTAAAACAGGCGCCACATCCTCGAGGTTTTGTCAAGTAACTTACACGATACCCTCGCGCGTCTATGCGCTCTGCATATTTCACTGCACCTTTTATGTATGTGGTTGCCCAAGACACATGTCTCCAATGACGCGGTGCGAGTCTATCACAGATTCAGTTACTTACAAACGGGAGAAGGAATGTAGCCATTTAGAAAGGGAAAAAAAATAACCTGACATAATAATAATAAACCCAGCCATCGGGCGTACGCATACGCCTCCACGCGAACTCCCGGGTGGCTCATAAGGAAGGGTGCACCGCATCCAGCCACTTTGCCATCAGACCTCGTTTTCTTCGGGTATACAGAGGCGGCAAGAACCAAATAATGACTTTCGCAACACAAGAGTCAACCAGCCCGTACAACGGCGGTGAGTCCAGTTTCCAATGATGGAACTCACTGCTTGTCTTTCATTTGTTTGATTTTTATGCTAACTCATCTTCGTCTTGTTAGCATTTACGCCTATTTCACCCAGCTCTCAACAGGAGAGCCCTTTCGAGGTCAACGAAATTTGGCGTGATGCTCCTGTGTTCACCGGCACTACAAAGTTTGATCCTCTGCCTGATGTAAAGAACATCATGGTGACAGGAGGCGCTGGTTTCATGTAAGACTTACCCTACCCACGATTACCGACCCCTGTCTAGCATGAATCCGCCTGTCTTGTTTTCTTATCCGTACCTTTGGTTAACAGAGTTGGTATGTCAGAGCATGTTGGGTTGTCAGACACTTGGTATTGACGTATCCAGAAGCCTACAATGTCGTCTCATTCGACAAGTTAGACTACTGCGCATCGCTCAACAACACCAGGGTACTAGAACATGAGCCGAACTTCTCGTTTTACAGAGGCGACATTACGAATCCTTCCGAGGTCATGGACTGTCTGGAGCGATATAATATCGACACCATCTTTCACTTTGCCGCTCAATCACATGTCGATCTGAGTTTTGGAAATCCGTTCGGTTTCACTCATACCAATGTTTACGGTACCCATGTTCTGCTCGAGAGCGCCCGAAAAGCGGGCATCAAGCGCTTCATCCACGTGTCTACCGATGAAGTATATGGCGAGGTAAAGGATGATGAAGATGATCTTCTGGAGACGAGCATTCTGGCACCCACTAACCCCTATGCGGCCAGCAAAGCTGCTGCCGAGATGCTGGTGAACTCTTACGAGAAGAGCTTTAAACTACCCGTCATTATAGTGAGGAGCAACAATGTCTATGGCCCTCACCAGTACCCGGAGAGTGAGTTTATCCCTTCTTTCCCACCATGTTTGCCTTGCTAATGCCTCTGCCAGAAATCATTCCAAAGTTCACCTGCCTACTCGCCCGAGGAGAGCCCGTCGTCCTTCACGGAGACGGCTCGCCCACTCGTCGTTATCTTTTTGCAGGCGACGCCGCCGACGCGTTCGATACCATTCTGCACAGAGGTCAGCTAGGGGAGATCTATAACGTTGGTTCTTACGATGAAATCAGCAACTTGTCGCTTTGCCACAAACTCCTAGCCGAGATGGAGATTATCCCCTCTCGGTCTCCGTCATCATCACCTCCTTGCAACTATACCACATCCCCGCCCTCATCGTCGCCTATGGGGGCAGAACAAGAAGAGATCCATCGTTGGGTCAAGTACACTCACGACCGACCTTTCAACGATCACCGGTATGCCGTTGACGGTACGAAACTGCGAAAACTAGGTTGGGAGCCGAAGACAACTTTTGAAGAGGGGCTCAGGGTCACTGTGGACTGGTACAGACGGTTTGGGGAAAGGTGGTGGGATGATATTACCAACGTATTGAGGCCCTTCCCTATAACAGCGGGGGGCGGAGACGGGGTACTGGATCAAGAGGTGGCCGAGGTGTGTGACAAGCCCGTCACCTTGGAATCAAGAGAGAATACGGGGGTTAGAAAGTCATCCGATATACTGAAGGAAGCATCGGGTTCGTTCAGGTCACGCCACCAACAATATCAACATCAACATCATCACAAACACCGCACAAGAAAATATCATCACCACACAAGGGAAACGTCGCGAGACAACACGGATTATTATTCTAGCAGGATACCAAGAAGCTGCGCTCTAGCTTCTCCACGCCCACGAGAGCTCGCCTCCAGCACCGGCCTAGTAAGCCCAGGGATCACATTAGATGAGGACGATGGTTTCGACGATGAGGATTCGACATATAACCAACTAACGATCGTTTACGACGACGAGGCACGATCACGAAAGAAGCGCAAGCTTTTAACCGTGGTCGATGATATCACCAAGGATAGCCACAGCTTCAACAAGAAGGCCCGGGGAAATATTACTCAAGAAGGGGGTCGCTGTGCTGAACTGTCGTGGACAGGCTTGACAAGAACGTTGTGAATTTGCTTCTAGACGGGGCTACCGAGGCACGAGAAGAGTTGTTTGAATGGAAATGGCGCAGGGGTAGCACCTATAGAGCAGAAAGGGGTCAGGTACCTTTTGTTGGATCTGGAGTTCTAGAAACCATATATTGTGCCATTCTTTTTGGTGTTTTCTTCTGATACCAGATGGAAGCAATAGGGATCGATACCGGGATGAAAACGGGAAGGTGCTTTGCTGAGCAACGCCGGAGTTTGCGGAAAGAGAACAGCTAGGGATGATGGAAAAAAAACGGGTAGGTCCTGTCTAATAGGCTCGCCATGGTTCAGTTCAATGAATATGAGAGAGAAAAAAAAATAAGAAGAAAAATTCGGGGACGACGGATTGAGGGTCAATTAGTTGATGTGATCTTACACATAGGCTTTTGCCTATACATAGTATGTTGGTTTTCTTGGCCTCTTTTGCACTTATCTCTCGCCCTCCTAGCGAGGAAGCAGACAAGACGAATCTTTTAAACACCTCGATTACCCCATAGGATAGCAGCATGATCTCCTGCTTTCCCCTTTACTATTATAGAACCATGTTCCTCAAAATAGATGCGCTTAGACCACACACACACACACACACACATATCTACACTTTCGCCCAACTCCTATTTTAGGGAATGTATGCTCGCTGCTTAGCCTGTTTATTGATAGAAAGAATAAGGTTGCCATCTCTCGATACGTTATTTGCGGCTCCACCATTAAACCTTTTTTTTTTTTCTTGGTTAACAGATAAAGTATCTATTTTTATTCTATGCATATTCTATTTTTTGATAAAATAGCACACACAAAAAAAAAAAAGGAAACAAAGGATGAAACAAGCAAACATCCACCAACAGAAAAGAAAAAAAAGAAAAAATGGTCCAGACCCAACAACCTGCGAATTTTAATTGCAGTAACGCATTCTCTTTGATCCTTCTTTCTCTCTTGTCCTTCCTTCTTTTTCGTCCCTTGTTTTCGAATTTTGGGGTCCAAATATGTCCGGGCAACCGGTTGGTCGGACCTGTTTTGACAGAGTGTAACAGACTGGCTGGCAGTCGGGTATCTGTCTGACCTATGACGTACGACGGGAATTTGTCCAAAGACGCGGATTGGTTATGGCGTATAAAAACACGTGTGAGGGGGTGGAGGTAAGGGAGGAGGGGAAAATGAAAGACCTGTTGGTGCCAGAAATTGACCGCTAGTTCAAAGTTGTGTTGCAAGCGAGGGTCGGGCCGGTCCCTCTCCCCGTCTGCCTCTCTCTCTCTCTCTCTCTCTGAGTGCTGAGTGAGGGCAGGGAAGTAGGACACGGTCTGGTATCTACGCTATGTATGTAGGTATGTATGTACACAACGAATGCACGCCGCGTGGCAGGAAGGAGTTGCATAGTGATGAATGAGTCTGGAAGGATGGCCGGGATGCATGGAAGGACTGAAGAGAGCATGATGAGGATAATCATGAGTTTAGAAGCATCAGGATTTACAGTCTTGACTTCAGGGGCTTTTCCACAGGAGGAGATGCCTGACATGCGCCTTGCTTGCATTTGTATATTGTACTCCGCCGCCGGATGTTGGGCCGGGCGGACATCGGGGGCCAGACCAAGAACCAACCACCAACAAAGTTCATGACATTGAAGACATGCTGCAGAGCACATGTCCGGAGTCCATAGGTCATAAACCCGAAGGTTCGAACAAACCCTCGCAAGATGGTTCTAAATAAGTAGAAGATCTGTATGGGGCCCGATTTGTTGGTACTACATACATATGCAGTACGTAGTGTAGTCGTAACTGACGCCAGGTACGGGGGTACCGGCGGAACACTTCAATGTTCGAAAATAAACATTTTTCTGTCTCTTGAGAACTCTCCACCCACATGGCACCAAACGTGTGCCTCCATACAAAGTGGGGAACGTCAAGGGGCCCCGAGTCCAGCGCACCGGGTTCGGTTTCGTCCCAATCAGCTGGTTGTTAGTGATTTATGGCTTAGGCCGAGACGATGTGTCTCGGGGGTATGCCCGTCCGCGGCGGCTGCCACTCCTGCTGTTCCCGCAGCTGTATTGTGGTACATACTGTGTATAGGTAGGCATGGTCTGTTGTGTACGGTGTACGCAGTAGGTAGGCTGTGATATGTGTCGGAGGCACAAACGTACAATTACTATACGTGTACCCAATGGCGATTATGTCACCCTTCGGAGTCTTGTGGGATACGGTCAGAATGAGATGCTGCAGGATTGCATTCCATTGCAGACGGGGAAGCGCACCCAAGAGACGCGATGGGTCTTTTTTTCATTCAGTGGAAAAAGGAAGGGACAGAGTACCCGGAGGTCGGCCCTTTCTCACCACCGCAGTCCATCCATGTCAACGGCACTGCTCCGTCCCTGACCGTCCGTCCACCCATTCCGTTGCGGCTGACTCCACCATCCAGTGCCGGGTCAGGAACTCAAGTATGGGTGTAAGAGCGCGCACGGTCTCTTCGGCATTGGTTCGGTAGGTCTGGCTGAGAGGCTGGGTGTCGGAGAGGACCTCTCGATCCGGCAGCTGGACAAGACGGTCAATGGATAAATATGGCCATGGGACATGGCCCCAGGTGATGCACCTTTTCACCTTGTTGGTGCATCTTGTCGGATCGTGGCTGGGCCGTCGAGTGAAAACACCAAACATGGGGTCCACCTTGAAATGCACTTTGGGTTGTGATGCGACCTGTCCGGCATCCGGGTAAAACAACATGTCAGGCCACTTTCATGATCACTGATCTCTTTTAGGTACCATCAAGGTATCATCCGCTCTGTGAAAGAGTGAAAGCGATTGCTACCGAGGCAGTTTCGCAGCACAATCGGGTTGGTGATGATTCTAATCGAGTCCCCGGCCGCAAGTGGCCATTCGGGGGAAAGCCGGACGGAGAGACTCAATGCCCAGGCCCCATGTGCTTGCTCTCTTCCAACTGGCTACCGGCTGTTGGTTTTACGTGCGAGCATCTGCAGCACCACAACGAGCCGATGCTGTGCCGTACCGTACTTGTACACTACAGTAGGTATGTACATATGTATGTATCCTATCCCATGGGTGTGGACCTCGTTGGCCTTCGTCCCAGCTCATCGTCCTTCTCCGCTCTCATCGTCAGGGACGGGACGAGAGACGGATGGGATCCAACCTGACGGAATGGATCGATCACGACACGGGCAAATTGGAAGTGCAGTTTTCAAACCTCTAGTGGCAGCCAGTCCCAGTGGGACGGTGCCACTGTACCTTGAAGGAGACTAAAGGCGACCCTAAGGGGCACTAGCTACAAGTGCGCTAGCTCATCGTCCACCCTCACTTTATTAAATGCGGGCCTAGAGCCAGACGCCAGAGACTCTGGGGGTTGGGTTTGCTCTCGGTTAACAGTCCCGGTCGCCTCTCTTCTCCCTCTTCACTGTCTTTGTCTGTCGTTGGTCTATTCTTAAGTCCTTCTTCACTTTTTGCCCCGTCCTGGCTCCAGCCAGTCCCGTCCCGTGCTGGTGTTACCCGTCCTCTCCGTCTGGCCTCCTCATCTGGCCGTCTCCTATTTGGCTCCGACTGGAGGTCTGGAATGACTCGGGATCTTCTCCATCCCACTTCACCTCCTACCGACTATCTCCTCCTGCTCCTCGCTTCCTCTTGTCTGGGTTTTCTTTTTCTTGTTCGGTTTCCCCAACCCTTGTGTGTTTGTCCCATCCACACCTTCGTTTGATCAAGCAACCACTGTATGGGGGGGACGAAAACGACCACAACACTGCCGCTTTTTCACTTTACGCTGCCTCTGATGCAGTTCTTCAGCTAGTTCGCGACTTCAGCAATATTCGCCAACGAATCTAATGGATAAAAGACGGCAACGAGCAAACACGCCCAGCAGAATTATCAGGCACTCACTAGAACGATAGGACCAACAACGGCAAAAACAAAAAGAAGAAAAAAATGCCACGAAATCAGAGAGCCTCTCCCGGCCCCAACGGAGCCCCAAGTCCTATACCTTTGGCTGGGAGTGTGAATGGTCCTGCGGCAGTAGGTCAGCAAGCAGGAAGTCAAAGCCCGTCAGGAGACGCTCCGATAATAATGGACAATCCCGCCATTGCTCAGCTCGAGGTAGACGACGAAAACGAAGACACGGTATCCATATACACCATGGATGCCTACCCCAATATGACGGCTGCGTACCAAGTCGATCGTCCTCATCACCCTGGCTCTGGCTCTGCGCATGATGATGCCACAATGTGCGTTCAATGATCTTTGCCCAAATGACGTCTGTATCTGTAATAGCAGAGGCGTACTCACAGTCTGCTTTTTCGTCTTCCAGTGACTCGGCGCGAACATTATACGCCGAAGATGTCGACTACACCACCGAGCACGATCGGACCTACTGTGGCGACTACTTCATGCCAGTTGACCAGACCGAGCAAACGCGCCAATATGTAGCTCACCAAGTGTACCTCAAGCTGTTCAACCTCGAGCTGACCACGGTACCGTTGCACAACCCTAGCTACATTCTCGACATCGGCACGGGCATCGGTGAATGGGCGATAGGAATGGCGGAAAAGTATCCGCGGTGCGAGGTGTTCGGAACCGATATTGCGCCTATCCAGCCAACCCATCAGGTCCCCTTCAACGTCGAGTTTCACATCGAGAACGCCGAGGACGAGTGGATTCGCCCAGCTGACGCAGTCGATTTGGTCCATTTCCGGAACATGGAAGGCGCCTTTTCAGACTGGCGCTACATCTACCAGCAGGCGTACAACTGCCTCAAACCCGGCGGCTGGATCGAAGTTATCGACTACGACGACCACTTCACCTCCGAGAACTTCCTATCCTACTTCGCGCCAGACTCACCCGCACACCTGTTGGCCAAAGGGGTTTTGGAAGCCGCGCGAGTGGCGGGGCGGCCGCGCGGGATTGACCACATGAGCAAGGAACTCCTCGAGGAACTCGGGTACGTAGACGTCAAGGAAACCGTGTACGACATGGGAGTCGGTTCCCGCGAAAACAGCAGCTACGGGAGCTTTTATCTGTTCACGGTCGTCACGGGCCTGGAGGCATGCTGCTTGCGCTCTCTGACCAAGTTTCTGGGTTGGGATCCCAAGGTGGTGCGGGACATGTGTAAGCAGACTGCCCTGGAGACGAGGGCGATTGCCGAGGACACCTCGAGGACGGGCAAATTTGTGGTCAAGCTCCGGGTCATGGTTGCCAGGAAACCAACGGCGCAGGAGCAGTGGCTGGCCAGGGGCACAGTAGTACCAACGGAGTCTGACTGCGGGACGCTTCGGGATGGAGACCAGAGCACGATTCGGTCGGTGAAGACGGTGAAGACAGCTATATCGGACGCGACGGGGCAAGAAGCGCGGCCCGTTTCTCAACGCTCGAAAATCACCGAAGGATGAGATCTAAAGAAACGGATGAGGGTTGATCTCTGCTTGAGCCGGGGAAAACTCCAGGCGAAACCCGGAAAGAGGAGAGCAAATGGACGAAGCAGTGTCTTGAAAGGATGACAGCATGTCGAGCAGAGTAACAGGATGCTTCGTTGTTGCATCCTCTTGGTTATGTAGGTAGATACCCGGGCGTGCGAACCTGTATATGACAGACATGGAAATAACTCTTGCAAATATTCGTGTTGCCCTATAGCTGACATAATTCAACCAATTAGAAAGGAAAAGAGGAATCCCTTCAAGTGCAACCTACCGACATGTCGCATTCGTTCGGTGCATCAAGCTATTGGATATGTGGAAAATATTGCCGAATATATGTATATATATATATATAGTTTTTCAGGTTCATGATGAAGCCACTATAACGAGAATACCGGACGCTAATTCGGAGGAAGGCAGAGCAGCGAGGAATCAAGACGAACAATGGGTTCCATGTTGTGAAGAACAGACAAGCTCCTTTGGTCGTTTCTCCCCATGCTCTATAATGGTGATGTTCCTTCCCGCGTTGTTTGAAGTGATGTGAACTTGCAATCACGGACTGGTGACTGGAGTAGGAATGAAATTAGGACCCTTCTATGGTGCTAAGTAGGCTTAGTATCTGATTCCAGTCGCCTGCCGGTAATCTAAAGCCTGGTGACACCGGTTGACTATGAATTTTTCTAAATCAAGCCCGGCGTGTCAGAACCTCCCAAGTCTCTACTTGTCCGGATCAAGCTCCGACCGGGACTCAGGGTGTTCAAATTATTTTCCACATCCGGGTCTTGCCCCTACGTAACCAACCCACCAGGTAGAAATTGGGGAAAAAGTCGTCCAAAAAAAAAAAAAAAAAAAAAAAAAAAAAGAACATACAGCACCTGGGATTCGCTGGTCGTCACCGACCCAACTACTAGTCAGGCGATATGGAGGCAAGACGGTAGTAGGAGGCGGCACTAAAAAGATTGATATAACTGGGCGGATTACGAGAAAAGTTGACCGTCCTGATATTGCGGCTAGATCTTTTACACGGGTAATGCCCAAGATTGCACTCGATCAGAAGACCATTCCTAATTAGTTCCTAGTCCTCCTCGGCCCAGTTATACCTCTATATATGCAAATAAGAGTGTGGCAAGGGAATCTCTCGCTCTTGTCTTGTTGGATTACGGTTTGATCTATCACGACAAATTGATCATGATGGACCTCCTTTATATACTTGCCTTAAACCTACCTCCTCCATTTGCCTGCATTAGCCTACCTCTTCCCTTCTATCCTGGCATGTTATAACTATGGTGGTTGGCTTGCAACACACTGCCGGCGTAGCCGCCAACACCTTTGTAAACGAGTCGATCAGCTCATAGAGCTGCATACCAGGGCTGCGAAACAAGGTGACAGCGGTGTTGAGAGCGATAAGGCAACCACAGCTCTACTATGTAGGATCAGAAGCAGGCAGCCTCCAAGGACGACATCCAACGCGCTGTCCCTGATCCTGCCGCACTTTAAATTCCTGTGCATGCTCTCCCACCTCGGTGGCGTCAGTTCGGGAAATGTGGTCATGGGCGCCCTGCTCAGGCGATACTGGCAAGGTTGACGCAAATGACGGACAACGCTACATATAGCGGCAGAGAATGGGCATCAGGCGGTTGTTAAGCTACTCAGCCTTGCATCCTAAGAGACAGGCTTGGAGGACAACTTGTTATCGGGTGGGCCTATCCCACCCTGATTGTGTGGGTCCAGCCCTCACACCCGACCCGGACCCTTTCTACATTCTAGCCTTCCACATTTCTTTTCCTTCTTTGCTCTAGCTTCTCTCCATAACACACACATCTACACATCGTTTTGCCCTCTAGTCCAAGACAGCTACACCTCGATTCAGCCTTGGATGGTACTGGGCAAAACTCCCTTCCAGGTATTTAGGCTGCCCTGGTTTCAGTTTCTCTTCTTCCGTTAAACAACAACAATCAAAAGCCCTTTTTGCGTTGTCGCCTTTTCCAGGCCACCGATAAGCGCTCTATTATGGCGCCCACGCGCAACTCGTACCTAGCGTACAAGCGCGATACCAGCTATCTCATCTATTGGATTGTGCAGACATCCAATTCCATCATCAAGTCTCTAGCAGCGTCCGATAGCCCTGTGAATGGAATCGATGGCGCCCCTATGGTGCCTCTCACCTCGGCCGGGATCACCGTTGCAGGCCTGGTTTCCCTTTCCAAGTTCGTTGGCAAGCATATCGACAGTGTTCCCTCGACTATTCTCGCCCTCTTTCAATCCGTCATCGAGGCAAGAACAGCTACCCATGCCGCTTTTCAGCAGATGACAGCCAGGACTCCGGACCCGGATGTCGAGAAGAGCAATACTTCTCACATGCGCTTCATCAATGCCTTGAAAGAATCGTTTGATGCGCTTGGTGGTCGAAAATGGAAGCCCAATTCCTCGCCCGACGAGTCAGACCTTCTGGCCAACACCGAGCACGTCAAGGAAGAACTCGATCGCTTGCTGGCCAACAAATTCGGTGCTCTTGAGATTCAACGGTCTCCAGAAGCCGACGAAGCCTCTGACCAGGAAGGACCTCAGGAAATCCACAGCAACGTCTTGCGCCAACGGAAACAAACCAAGCCAGGCAAAGGCAAGAAGGGCAAAAAGGGGAAAGCCAAGAAGAGTTCAAAGCCCAAAACTGCGCCCGCCAAGGAAGACTCGGAATCTCTCGAAGGTGTACCACTGGAGAGCTACCGCATCATTCAAGATCAAGATGGTATTGTTACGGACTACCTTATGGCTGTTTACGATCTTATCAAGGAATGCATGACCCTCCGAAACTACTTGCAAGGCATCTGGCGCGAGGTGGCCTATGACGGGCTCAATAGCGCAGTAGCGGGTGCCCTTTCTAATATGGCCATCGCCATGGTTCAGCGCTCTGCATCCGAGATGTTTGTCGATTCCCCGACCATGACTCCTATGAGACCGTTATGAATACAATTACCCGTGGGAATGTGGAGAAGGCGCAGGGCATGTTCCACGTCTTTCTAATGTTCTTTGAGCCAGGTAGCGATACCCCACAGAGAAAGGAAGAACAGGAGGTGGATATCAAGGAGCAGTTCCTGATTAATGCCTACCACGATCTTCTTGATTTCGTTACCGATTTCCAAAAGACGCGAACGGGCAAGCCGACGAAGCGGATGCTGGAAGAGATCAGGAACTGGGATCCCAACTTTGACCTGAGGCACGCTACGAAGGAAGAGCGTATCAGATGGCGTCGCTCATATACCATCAACTGGCTCTATGACCTGGTCAATGTCTTTTCTTCCATTGTAGTTCAGCGCAACACTTTACGGGGCGAGAAGCACGTATATGAAAAGGTTGACTGGTCTCCAACGGGCCCATGGGCCCAGCATCGGCGACTGTTTGGGCTAAATGAGTTTGCTGGTTTCGTAACCTCTCTTGCTATGCAGAAGCCTGGCACTGATGTCCGAAACCGGATTCTTCCCCATCATGTCTTCCAACTGCAATGCATCGTCGATTCGCTGACCGTGACCAGGGGCTGGTCACATCACCTCCTCAAGGGACATGTTGTCGTTGCACCGCCGCCCAGCTATAGGTTCCGTCCCCGTCGCGATGTCGACTTTTTCTTGGATCGCGAGGTTACGCGGGATGGTCGAGGCATTCTTCAAGCATTCGACGTTCTAGAGCAGCTCTTTGAGAGAGATGGCGCACTGCACGGAGATATGAGGCGGCATGCGGCTAATAACGAAATTCTCGAGGGATTTCATCTTGACTATATGAATTGGCTCGGCGAATCCAAGTACATGCATGGTCTCAATACCATCCCTCCTTCTCGCTTTTCTCACACCAATGCTAACGGGCTGTGGGAGTACTCGCCCTTCCTTTGCGGTACCGGTCTCGAAGAAGGTCTGGAGTTAGCGTATATATCCGGAATGACGATCTGGGATCGCCTCCCTGAGCCCATGATGCTGCTACACTTGCACAACATGTTAGTTCAAGAAGGCTACATCGAGAAGCCAGTCGGCCTATTTGCAACTTTACAGGAGCTTTTCCCACAGTGTTTCTTTCCCGACGGAAAGCCGCCTGTTGCGAACTATGATAAGGCGTTGCAAACAATGGTGGACAACCGTGGCTCCCCAAGGGAAAGGCAACAAGTAAGAAGGGTTGCTACCTCGGCAGCAGACATCCATGGGATCTTGAACCCCAAAGTCAATGACTTTCTCCGGAAAAAATCCACTCTGGTTATCTTACGCGAAGCGGGTTGGAACATCGACCGCATTCCCGATGCCGATGTCTCTTTCCCCTCGGTGCTGGGCATGCTCGCATCACCCAGGCAAAGCACATTACTGATCCTGTTACGGGCAAGAAACGGATTGAGGAAACAGAAATCACCAAGAGGGCCAAAGCCAAGGGCATGAGCGAGGAAAACATGTTCAACATGGCGAAAACGATCGAGGTTTTACGGGCCACGAAAATGAAGGCTAACGAGATCCCCGCCGAGCGGGTCGCCCATGCCATGGAGCCCGGTTACTCCCGCTTCCCTGATCGGTCCGATCCGCGCTCCACGCGTAAGGCGCGCATGGCTGCCGGAGGTGAGTGCGTCGACTTTGCCGACCGCGACATGCTCGATTTCATGAAGCTGGACATCCAATCCGACATCTCGGGCGAGCGTCCGCTGTCGGCCCTGAACTTCCTTTGGGCGACCACGTTCTTCTACACGGTCTTCATGAGGATCGAGGAAGAGCTGGAGAAGAAGAGGAACCCACTTTGGGTGCGCGCGTACAAGGAGGCCCGCGGCCCGCTCGCGAAACAGAAGCGCCTGAGCCTGACGCTATTGGCCATGATTGAGCAAGATGAGGAATGCTTGGAGGTCATGGCTGATATTTTCACGAACCCGCGAGCAGGGTTTTTGCAGTTCATTTACTGGGACGACATCGAGTTCGTGGCTGAGAAGGTAGGAAAAGATCCCCGGCCCCGGCCTAGGTCGGCTGCTTCGGGCGATGTTGGCCCAGATCTGGATCAGTGTTTAGTCATGTAGATGGCTCAGCATGTTCCGAGGTATTCAGGGGGTAAAGAGATATCAGGGCATTAAATTTGTACGAGAACTAGTACTCGTCAAGGCTTCAAAACCGACCGTGGTATCGAGTATCCGGAATATAAGATGGGACATACCTCTCACACATTGGTAGCCAAACTATTCCCTTTGGCGCCAAGTTATGAAGTCACTCCTATTTTGATACTTCTTCATAACTTTACGAAAAGAAACTGCAAACGAAATGCTGATTGAACCAGTAAACGCAGCGCGCCCAGTAGCCGGCTATTTTATTGGGTTGTGGTGAGGTTGATGCAGCGGGCGGAAGAGAAGGAGTTGGGACTTACATAGGATTTTTGTTTGGGCGTGTGGAGTTCCGTTGGTGGGCTTAAAAGGTACGTCTCATTTTATATATTCCGGATATGCACTCCCCACTCTTGGGAATACCCTCGTTCGGCGTTTCTAGTTATTCAAGTCAGTAATTTTATGGCAAAATCCTTCGCTATGTAGGAATGCGAGATGGAGGCTGAGTTGAGGCGACACTGGGGAGTTCGAGTCTCGCCAAACAATCAAACAAAAAGCCCGAAGCGGTGTAAGGAGGTGAACCTGATCAACATGAAAGGGAACGTTTTGGTAACATCATGTCCGTCTTCAATACGAATTGACATGAGCTAGGAAGGGTCAGTTATTATTGGAAACGACAGTTCCAGGCTGGCTTGAGTTTGGTACCGACCGGCGTGTCGGTGCCTTTAGGACGGGCGAGTTGTTAGATTGTCTTGTTATGTAATGCATTCGACGGCGGGAGTGAGATTTCGGTCTTACCCGTCTTCTAGTCCCTTTTCCACGCCCAGGTCTTGGCTTACCCACCCAAAGCGGAACCGAGGCCGTCATCGTATCCTCAGATCTCGTATAGACCCTAGTACAAGTAAAACCTCTAGTGGACAGCGCGATGTAAATCATCGTCAGTTTTCATTCGTGGAGTTTCCAAACATTTTCCATACGATGCCTTTATGCAATGATCAGCTCTTTCCCTCGTCATCACGGCCAATGAACGCAGCCCTTGGGCGTTTACAAGAGAGCCGGGTTCCGAAGCTAGAACGCCGGTACGGCTTGGCCCGCTTGACCTACCACTTAGCTTCAACGGTCAAAGCCGATGACATCGGTCAGGAGGACCTGAACTCGTATCGCGCTTCGCTTGGAGTATACGGAGTTGACTGAAGGCTGCAGAGGCTCGCTACGAGCTACTCGAAGACGTCGAGATTGGAGATGACGGATGTCGGCCGTCGGCGGGCGGCTACTTGTATATATTAACGGCATCTCTCCAAGTTATAACGGCTTCCTTTTGCTCCTCACTCGCAATATCATCACAACTGCTACTTGCCTCTTAATACATCCAATCTTAATCATCTCAACTACCCACATTCGCTATCAACGCACCCTCACAACAACCACCCACCCAACCATTACCATGCAGTTCACCACCCTTGCCCTCAGCGCCCTCTCGGCCGCCACCGGCGTCTTCGGCGCCCCCACCTCCCAGGAGGCCGGCACCACCAGCCCGGACCAGGTCATCTTTGGCGTCATGTCGATCCGGTCCGCCAGCCCCGTGCACCTGACCGCCTGGGGCGCCGAGCACAAGGGCATCTTCACCAACCTGTCCAACCAGGACGCCGATTGCTACAACAGCCCGGCCCAGAACAGCGCCACCTTTGTGCTCAACAAGGCCGACGGCACGCTGTCCCTCTACACGGAGGGCAAGCCGTGGCAGCAGCTCTTCGTCGACCGCTCCGGCATGGGCCAGGGCATGATGCAGTACACGACGGGCGCCGAGCCGGCCCCGCGCAACGCCGAGCGCGGCGGCTGGGCCATCGACGAGGCCTCGCAGCACCTCACCTTCGCCGGCAGCGACGCCTTCCTCGCCTGCCCCAGCGGCGCCGACTCCTCGTACCGCATCCTGCCCTACGTCGGCATCGAGAACCCGGCCGGCTACACCGACTGCCTCAGCATCGCCGCCCGCGTCGTCGTTGCCGAGAACCCCGTCAAGTGCCTGTACTCGCAGAACTAGACGCGGACGCCTCCAGACGACAGGCCACCTACGACTACGACATGCTATAATGGGAGAGTGGGATTAGCGCAATTATGATTGTAACGAGGCGACTTGGCCTTGGATATATAGGGTAGAGACTAGTATTTTTACCCACAAATAGATGGACAATGGCAATCCAAACAAATCTCTAGACTTGTAATTCTCCTTGTGTCTGTCGTCCATCTTCATCCCGTTTCGCGTGTTGCTGTTACCCCGAGGCGTCACCCCCTTTCTCACTTCAAGGCCGTAACGTCAGCGACCAACTAATGAGCTTTTGTTAGTGTTAAGGGAGTGCCATTTTTAAATCATCACCCACCAGCCAGAATAAAAACCAACCCACATGGGGAGGAAGGGGGTAAAAAAGAAGAAGGTGGAGCGAGCTCATTATCCTGGAACCCAGATATCCTCAGGGTACGCGAGATCGAAGCACCTATTTGGCATATCACTGATAGATAGACATGTCAGCCGGACACTGCACCTTCACACGCTTTCCCTCTCCCTCGCCCGTAGTCTAAGCTCAAGACACACAGAGTTATCAGGTCATGTCTGGCACAGGAGGTCTAGTTATTTGAACTTCGACAATACTCGTTATTATTCAGCTTTTTCAAGACATAGTAATACCTGTTTATGTGCCCAACTTGGCTCACGCTTCCCTTCGCTTTGCTCTTCACTTTTGTACGCATAGTTTTAGCTCTTCGTTTCCACCCGGGCACACTGAGGGTTCAACATACGGATGCTAAGCCCAACCTAACAACTGGTTTTTTTTCTTTGACTTTTTAGTAATGCATGGTCGACATTTCTCCTCTTCCTGATATTCGCGCTGCAATACCGTACTCTACAACGGACTGGCAGACGCCTTACCCGTCGTTTTATTTCCCATCCAAGCAAAAGCAGATGCACTACCAAGAGGATTTGTGGCCGATCTGGGAGCCGTCGGTGTCTTAAGTCCATCCTGATGCATGGGACTGCTCACCGTGGTTGCCAGTGACGAAGACCTTTGCTCTCTAGTCTCAATGCCCTTGCCACCTTCCAAGTTTCCAAGGTTGGAAGCGCTAGCACTGGTGCTCAGACTGCGTTTGGAGGGACCCCAGCTGCCTACCGTAGGGCTGCTAGTGTTGCTCTGACTGTCTTCCGCCACAGCAGCGCTAGCTGTTGAGCCCTTGGTCCGTCGCAGATCAGTTCCGTTAGACCGCGGAATGGAGGGAGATTCGAACGCACCCGTCGACCGGGTAGTTGACGGTGAGTTTGGACCGGCAGTGCTGTTGCTGCTAATGGAAGATATCTTTGTCGGCCGTAAGATCTTCATACTGCGACCTCTTGCAGCTGGCTGGTAGCCGCTCAGCGGGGTGCTTTCCTTATCGGCAAGACTGGCAGCCGTTTGTCGCCACGGAGTCCTGATGGCCGCGCTAGGTTCCCGGCGAGCGGTGTCGGTCGTTGAAGTAGGCGTAAAATTTTCTTTGGCAGCGTCTCTGGAGACGTCTTCAAGGACTACAGAATCGGCTGGAGCGGATGGTGGCCGCTGCTGCTGTTGCTCCTGTTGAGGTTGCTCCTTATCATACCCTCCACTCGCTTCATTTGAAGCCGTGCTGGTTGCCTCAGTGGTCGTCTTCACTGGTTGACTTGGCGACCTCACAGGCGACGGCAGTGCTCCCTCCGAGACAACATCTCCATTCTGCTTGGGGACCGGTTCTTCGTTGCTTTTGGCCGACGGTTTTGCGGCTCTGTCTCCAGCAACGAACTCGGGCGCGGCAGCGTTCAGCTTGGGCTTATTCCCAGGGGCCATATTCGTGACTGCAAGATTCTTGAACACTGCATCGTCCTCAGGTCGAACAAAGGGTACAGAAAGCTTGTCCCTGTCGGTACCATACAATGTCATTGAGTTTTGAGAAAGCAGAAGGTCTGCACTATGCAACCTCAACGTGTGGTTACCGATAAAGACGCGGATGCTCTTCCTGGTTTCAGGACTTTCTGGTTGATCCATGCCTGTCACTTCAAAGGAACACGTGATGCTGGGCGGTAGTGGGTGAACCGGGCTGACAGACCTAGAGTTGGATTGAATGACTCTAGCTTCGGTAAGGAAAACCGGAAGATCGATCCTGTAAATGCCGTCCATTCCTCTTTGCATTTGGTTGGTTAGGTTCAGGTCTTTAACCACACTATAGTCCACTGTTGACTTTTGTGAACCAGTACAGACGACGGCATAGAGCAACCTTTTGTTCGTGATGTTATCAGTCAAGCAACAGCGGATGATGGACGGAGCTGCACCCAGATAAAAGAAGCCTGGGGGAGGTTCCGGGACATCAAGGGGAGAGTCGTCCTCCACCCCACCAATCGAGAAGTTGGTATCAAGACCGAGACTGCTAGCTCGGCCAGAGGCGGTTGAATGCACTGAATGAACAGAATGGCCGGCAGAGCTATGCCTCCCATCAGACTTGTGAGACGAAGAGCGCTCAGTCATCGGATGGCCTCCCATGCCACTTCCAGGGCGCGTTAAGCCATATTCGGTCGAGTGACGGGTGCCATGATGGCCACCCCATCCGTGCAGAGCGCTTTCATCGAACCGCACACTATTCGCCCTCGATGCTACCCCTCGTCGTATAGGCTCGTCTTCAGGCTCAAGCTGCAGTCTACCAAGCAAGTTTTGGCCCTGCTCGTCAAGATCGTCAAATAGATCGTTGGCTGGCAAGTGAACTGGCCCTGAAGTGTTGTTAGTGAAGCCCTGATTGACAAAAGGACTATCGTGAGCTGCGAAAATCTGACCATGCTGAGGGGTTGTCGTCCCGAGCATACTTGGGAACGGCGAACTCCAGACAGACTTCAAGGCGGCATCGTCGGCCTGGCGTTTTTCCAACAATCGTAACCGCTCTGAGTGCTGATGCTGGATGGAATGAAGGCGCTTCAAGTCCATCTGGACATCGTATAGTTCTTCGCGGGTGACGATGAAGCGCGGATCCATACCCAGATGGCGAGGACGGAGGAGTGATGGCAAATTGTGGACGTTGGATATATGTGCCCAGTGTAGCTGGCGGAGTGGAGGGATCGGAAGATACTATTAGGATGAACCAAGGAATGGACGGGTTGCGACTCCTATGTTGACTACGGCCTTGTAAGCGTATCTACTGGTGTATGACTGTGCCTGTCGCAAGCTGGAGGCCGTCTTGATATGACCTCGACCCTGTCTGCAATTCAGATATCGAGGTCCACCCTCCCCCTCATCGCCCGCAAAGGACCACCGCGGTCTTGTGCAATGGTTCCCACACACCTGAGTGTATCCTTCGCTAGACACTACCAACGTAAGTCTTTTTGCTTGTACAGTTTGGGTGGCGTTGGAGACACTGAGCTGATAGCGGAAGCGTGAGGGGTTCGGGTTGAGACTGTTGTCGGATTGTGGCTGCTGGTCGCCAAGGCGAGTTGAGAGACGTATAAGGCGTTCAACAGGGACCAGCACCACAAACGAGCGCGACAGGAGGAATTGTCAGGGGGGTGCCAAAGAGTAAGGTTTGCAGAGAGGCCAGGAAGAAGATACGTCGAGGGGTAATGGGTTGGCGCGGGAGCAGCGAGCGAATTCGAGATTTGAGAGTATTCTCGATCCACCACGGACAAGCTGGGTATGGCCGCAGGTGGAGCTTGGGCGTGAATGTCGTTCGGCCTATTTCACCCAAGAGAATGGCGGGGGGCCGGTCTTTGCACAAAGCTTCGATGGCGTCTATGAATAAACGTCAAGTGCACGTCTGGCGGGAGCGGTGATCGGGGGTCGACGGGAAGGACGGGACGCGGTGGTCAGTATGTAGAGGGATGAGGCCGGCGTTGTTGACCTGACGTCTTTGTGGATGGCGGAACCGAAGGATGTTGCCCGAGTCTAGCGCTCTACCGGATTGCAGAACAAGAGCCTGAAGACGCGAGTGCGTGCTAGAGAAAGGAACCTGTTTCGAGGCCGTTGACGGTGTGGTACGTCTGACTCGGAAGATACAAAGAGAAACTGAAGTCAAGGTCTGAATTGACTCGACGTTCTGTGTGCGGAGCGTGCTTTGGTGCGTGTGTTCCTTTCAGTTGAGAAGTGTTGAGGTGGTGCGTGCGAGCAGAAGATGGAGAAGCAGCAGACAAGGTGCAAATTGATGGAAAAAGAGGAACTGTGAAGACGCCGTTGCGCTGGGCGAGGCAAGGCTCCCGTCGTTCATGGACGGTTTCGGTGGAGTTCTCTCGGGTCTCCAGCCTGCGGGACGGCTCAGAACGGGACTGAGGTGTGCTTGCTGCTTGCTGTCAAGCCGTACTGGGAAGAAATGCGCCATTCTCAAAGGACATGTCCGCGGCAAGGGCGATTGATAGGCTGCTCCTACCCCATGATGCTTATCAACCAAGCTGCAGTGATCCATTGCCCGCTCCCTGAGGATTGGCAGGCGCAACCACACTCCCACTCCCGTCCAGGTCCCATGCCCGGATGGGCGACGGCATCCCATGGAAGCCGGCAAGCCATGCACCCAAGGCAGGGGGATTCGGCCTTGTTAGTAATGCAGTGAAACACTCAAACCAACAGCAGCCCTTTTGCTGGCCGGGTGGCTAGAGGTAGGTAATGAAACTCAGGTCGCTGGACCTAAATCCGGTCGGTGCATTGGAGGCCGGGAGAGCACGGTCGGCGGGCAGTCTCACATGTCGACGGCGGGGGCTGGCACATTGGTGCCGGATGGACCACTTACACACGCCGCGCCGCCAACCTCCCCCTTAATCGCACTTTGTCCATTCATCCCCTCCCGTTTGAAATCGCGAAGAGCAACGCCATCGTCCTGCCCCGATGTCAAATACCAACTCGAATTTGCCCTCACTTTTTCATTTTGGAAGTGAACAATTCACATTATACACCGTTCAAGCTCAAAAGAGCATCGAAATGAGCCGACGTCAGATGACATAAGTGCCCCCGCCGCGACAGCTACCCTAGCTCCCCCCACACCACCATTAGTCTCAACTATTATCACACCCCCACAATGATTGACACGATTCTTTAAAGGATATCAACTTGCAATCTGGAATGGGAACGGACTGCTCTGAACTTTGACCCGCAGAATCTAGTAGCATCATTTCTTCGCCAACGACCACATATTTCGCTAGTACAAGTTCAAGGCTTCAACACATCCTCCTCCAACCAAGGCGCCACCTTCCAGTCCGGCAACACATAGCCAACCCTCTCCGCAGCGTTCGTCCCCTCCCACTCCTTACCCAGATGCGGCTTCACGGCTTCGTACAACAACTTGTATGCTTCTGAGCTCAAATGCAACCCATCCGGCAGCAAGTTCTTCAGATAGCCCCTTTCTCCCGTCTCGGGATCACCCAGATTACCCTTGGACCTGTCAAACCCGGGCGTCTTGGAGATGGCGTAGTCCATGACAGCCTTATAGAGATCGATCAAGCCGACCGAGTGCTCAGCGGCCACTTGGCGGACGGCCTCGGAGTAAGAGGCGCTGACGCGGTGTTTGCGGACGCCGGGTTCGACCTCGGATGCCTTCAGCTCGTCCAGGGGTGGTGGTGTGATAAGAAAGATCTTGGGGTTGTGGGCGGTGATGTTGGAGTGGGTGATGATAGAGACGAGGTTCTGCTTGTACTTGTCTAGAGGGACGTGCTGGTTGTTGACAGGCTGGGGAAGGGCAGCGTCGTTTGCACCCAAAAGGACGAACTTGTGCCCTTGGTTAGACAAAGCTGGGTTTCTGTAAAACGAAAGAGTTTAAACTTACAAGGTAGGCAAGCTTGGGCACGCCTGGACCCGGCGGAGAGAAGATCTGGGGCAAGAGCTTCAGGGCATTGGAGGTGTTGTAACCGGAGAGACCACGGTTAACAATGTCAAATCGGCGAAGAACCTCTGGAGGTGAGTCAGTAAGCTCACTATACGAGACTTGTGAGCAGCTGACAGAACACGTACGCTGTTGAACGGCAGCTTGGAAACAGAAACCATCCTCAAGACTTGCGGCACCCTGGAACAGGGAATCGCCAAAGAGCACGATTTGGGGGTATGAGACCTTTTATATCATCTGTTAAAATCGTAATGACTCAATCTCTTTCTCGGTTTATACACGGGCAATCTCACCGCCATGATATACGAAGTTGACTTGTAGATATTTTGAGAGTGGTGTGCAAAAGTCAATAATGCGAAGGACCGCGGTATTCAAACGGAGTGACCAAGCTTCAGCGGACTTTGACAAAAACTCGAGACGAGTGCTCTTAACATAAGTATCTATCCAGACCCCAAACTCCGCCCGTTACATAACCGGGAACACGGCCCTGGGCCGGGTTCTTACAATCATCAGCCAGGGGAGCAAGTGGAATTGAGACCCATCTATCCCGTAGACTCGGAACCCAACCCCACTTCTACCGCGGCGTCTTCTAGGTACGCAGTACACATGTCTTCATGCTGCATCCCATCGACTCTATACCCATGTATGTACGGTCGCGTGCCATACCTTGCTTGCTACCCCACAACGAGTCACAGTAACTTCCAGGATCTGGAGAACTTTTGCTCCAAGTGAACGACTGATCAGGCGTGGAGAATGGGCCCAGCCTTGATACTTGGTTCAGCTCTTATTTTCTCTTTGCTCCTCTTTGCTGCCTCCTCTCCCAGTCTCCTTAGGGTAACATGAAAAGCAAGGGCAATGGGCGAACCAGGCACTCCTTTGGAATCAACAGCGGTCTCGCCAATGCTACTTCGCTTTGTTATCCTCTAAACCTACTTAGTATAGGGCTCGACACATTATGTACATTAGCTTACCGCCCGTCCGGTCCTGTTTCCTCTCGGTATCGTTGAAGAGTTGTTCTTTTCGTGGCCCTAGAAGCGACGCTAAATTGGAATCACCCCACGGTCATGGCCCTTCTGGAACCGAAGGGCTTACATCCCGTCATATAGTTCAGAGTGCGGTTCATGGGGCTTTGTTATTAGCTTGACGTCTCTGCTGCGCAAAGGTCAGTCATATCGGTCGCATTGGCGACGTGTTGTTCCAGCTGTATCACGCCATAGAGTCTCCATTCGGGGCGCAGAAGCGAAAACAATGTTGATGGTGATCCGGGCTAGTTGTGCTGTGCCGTCTGGCTGGTTAGAAGACAGGTCATGATTGACATTGCGTCAGAGAAGAAAATGGAAAACTGAGGGTAGTTCATGACAGCTAAGGCAAAGCTGCCCTTCAGGAGAACAAACGACATCTGCATCCTCCAAAGATGGCAGGATCTGGCAGGTGGTTGATTGAGAGCTTTGGTCAACCAAGATTCGTCAGCATCGAAATCCGTGGCTTAATAGATTTTGCCTCAGACCGGGCGCTTGATGTCCAAGAAGTCGGCCAGTTTTGCGCAATTACTCCTGTTTTCTGCTCATTCAAGAGGTGATGATGCTCGGAAGCGGGGAATGTTGCACGATGCCCCTCAAGAACAACTCGGAAGTGAAAATGGCCGGCTTGTCCATGACAAAATAAATGAGGCCTTTGGCCATAGCCTGGTTGGGTAAGAATAAACCGAACAGAGACGGTCCGATACCGCTCATCGTGGTTAGAGGTAGGAAAGGCCGTTACAAATCTCTATTGAATGGGGATTATGATATACGAAAATACAATAGCTCGAGTTCTGTTCCAGGAAGTGACTCAAACTCAGGTTCAAAGGTATACCAAGAGGTAGTAAAGATGCTTAGATGTATACCTAACTGGTATACCTGGCTGTGACGTATTTCGGCTTATTCTTACCATTCCATTAGGTTTGGCAAGTCAACTGGGTTCCCTCAACAATTTCCTTTGTCAAAAACGAGACCATGTCCCTGACAGCGCTGTGGAGAGCCGCTGACAGCTCCTCCGTCGGGTCTGCCCCCACGAACACTTGCGGGGCTGCGGGGTTACCCTCCGGCTACCTATCGATAAGTCACTTTGCCCCCACATTACCGACGTCAATCATCTCTGTTCCCGTGTTGAAGATTTGTCAACCCTTCAAGTCGAACATGACCAGATCTTCGAATCTGGAAATTCTCATTTTCTAGTTTCTCACCTTGCCCAAAAAAAAAAAGACAAGATAGATGTTCGATCCGCAGACAACTGACTTTCAACCATGGCCTGCTGTACCTGCGCAAAGCTTTTACACTTGGTGCCCCGCTTCGTCCATGAGACCGAGAAGCCTCTCCCGGACGATCGCCGATTGAGCTGTTGCGGCCGAGTAATTTGCGGTAACTGTATATATGTAAGTATCACCAAGCCGTCAGTCAGGCTGAATTTTGACCGCTACATCACGCCGCCATACTCTGCGAAGCGGCGCAAAAAAAAAGGCACCTTGATGACCAACCTTTCATTTCTATGTTTTGTTCATAGGCACGATAGACAGTCTACTAACACTAAAACAGAACAACCCCCGTTTCAGCAGTTACTGTCCTTACTGCCAAACCCCATCATCATCATCATCTTCCTCTTCATACCTTACTCCCATAAACCCCCGCGGTCCCAAATATCGCCCTCCTTCTCACCATTACCGAGCTGAAAATACACAAGCCGCCCATGACGACAACGATACACCACCACCATACCCCGGGCCCATCTCCTTTAAAAATCATCTTCCTCCCCCATCCTCTTCACCGCCCCCTTATTCTTCAACCATCTCTCTCACAGCCAAAACATCAACCCAACAAGAGCCCAAATCTCCACAAGACAACCCAAACACCACCATCCCAGACACAATTCACCACCTCACACCCCACGACACCCTCCCCTCCCTCTCCCTCCGCTACTCGATCCCCCTTCCCGTCCTCCTCGCGCATAACCGTCTCCCGCTATTCTCTCTCTCCACCTCTTCCTCCCCTTTCCACTCCAGTTCTTCCGCACTTCTATTCGCCCGCGGTAGACGCACCATCCTCATCCCGGGAGAATACAACCCATCCGGCGTATCGCTTTCTCCTTACCCTGTAGAAAGCGACGAGGAGGTTGAACGGAAGAAGAAGATAAGGAAGTGGATGATGAAAACCAAAGTGGCGGACTATGATGTGGCGGTTTTGTATATGGAGGGAAATGATTGGAATGTGGAAAGCGCAGTAAAGGCGTTGGAGGACGATGAGATGTGGGAGGCCCTAAACCAACCGCCTACGAAGGGGAAAGGGAGGGTTATGGGAAGGACGTGGATTAGTGGGGTGAAGAGGTTGGTTCCCACTGCTTCTAGTACTGCGTCGAAGTTTGGCAAATAGGTAGTCAAGCTGGGGATCGGGACTTGAAAGCCAGGAGAACTGGATCGTAAGCAGTTTATGATGTCATGCTTTGTGTACCCAAAATTTTGTATATTGCCAAGCAATTTGGCTCTTCTTTTCTTTTTGTTTAGCCACGTACCATTCTGTCTCTTCTTTCCATCGTTTGATCTAAGCACAACGGCGTACATACAATTGACGCCTAAACCACTTACCACCACCGGAGCGCCTAGCTGAATCAACAGCAGTAATCCAAGTTAACATTACAACAAGGCTTTGATCCATCCCAGGTTTCTGTGAAAACGACGCGCTTCTTTGCAAGGAGTTTCATATACATTAAACCATAAGCTCGCAGCCATTACTTCTCACCCAGAAACGATGTGATCATGTTTAGAAGGCAGACCGGGTGCGAATATCCTAAACAAAGTAAGCAGATTAGTAAGTGAATTGCTTCTCGAAATTCAGGGGGGTTTTAGGGAACACGTACCGAGATCTTGCGCTCGATTTCCCTCACCGAGCGATCAAGTTCTCCCGCAATCATCTGCTTCTTATCATTCGGCAGCAAGCTAAACCTCTCGCACAAGTCACCATCGATCACACCCTTGACGGGGGTATAGTAACCCCTGTAGATCAAATGATCACGGCCGGCAAGCGGCGGGTCTTCAGCGCGCATATGGTTCTCCAGATTCTGGAAGAAGTCGACATCCTCGCGGCTGACAAAGGGAATGAAGACACCGACAGTGCCCTGCAAGCCGCTCCAGAGCAGCACGTCTTGACCACCGACAACTAGGCTGGTCTTGCATATGCTGGTCGGCAAGTCCTGAGTGTAGAAGTGGACCTGGAGGCTCAAGCGGTTGGGTGTGCCATGAAGGTAGTTGCGGGCGTGCATCAGGTGGATCTCTGATCCAGGCTCGTCAGTTTCCTGGCTGACGCGCTCTGGGCAACGGACGATGTATATGTTGCCGAACTTGTCGCCGCCGGCAACGGATTCGTAGTCGACCATGGTGGTGCAGGTTGTCCAGCGGTTCAAGGTGTCGTCAGCAAAGGGAATGAGTCTATTGCCCTCGGCCTTGTAGACAACGTACGTGATGCCTTGCTGGAGATCGCCGACAATGATGCGGTTACCCTGGCTTTGTAGGGAGACGATGAGAGTGGGCGTCACATCTGCTTGAGCTTTTCGGAGCAGTTGCTTCAAACCGAGGTCGTAGATACGGAGTGTCTTGCCGACGCCAGCAAGCAGACGACCCTGGAACGGAATGAGTGCCAAAGGGGGCTCTTCTACTCGGGTCTTATGAATGAACTCCAGGTCCCGGCCGTCTTCATGGAATCTGTAAACATGGATGTAGCCCTCGGTAAATTGACGTGGGTCGAGGACCATATCTTTGCCCGTGCCGACAACCAGGAAACTTTCACCCTCTTGACTGGCAAAAGGTACAATGGCCGCGCTGACTGCCGCCTCATTATTGTCAAGATCAATCCTTTGGAGGACTCTCGGTTCCTCGCTGATAGGATCGATAATGCTGATGCACGATGCCCATCTGCCTTTGGCTCTGGGATATCCAAAGTCCTCTGGCGGCAGTACCGTTGCGTCGCCATTGCTTTGTTGCTCCAGAAGCTTTGCCCGCAGCTCCGGGGGGAGGGTGTTATTGTCGGATTCGATAGTGTAAAAGTATGGCTGTTCGGGATGCTTGACCAAGTGCTTAGGTGTGTAAGTCAAAGGAATGGATTTCTGAATCATGTTGTCGCCCAGTTTTTCGATTGAAAAGATTCTGCACTCAATGTCAGTGTCTGTGAAGATAAGGATGTACAAAATGGATGGGTGTATCGGGTTGTATTGGAAAGAAACAATTGGTACAATCACATATGATTGCTTCAATCACCTCATTACCCGAGGGCATAGAGTTCACTTTTCTCATCATATAACTGGACGCCAAACAATTTGGAACAAACTGACCTTAGGTAGTTGGCATGAATTCCAACCATGCCTTCCAAGCACTGTTCGCTACTGAAGTTCCAACCATACTCAAGCTCGGTGTAACTTAGGGGCGTCATCATGAAGCCCTTAGTAAGTGGGTCGGTGTAGCCTAACCATGGCCTCGAGCTCAGCGCAAGAACACATGGCTGATCCTGAACTGATACTTGGAAAAGTTTGGTAGGCTTGGGACCCAAGAATTTTTGACGAGTGTCTGTCAGTTCGCCCGTCACTTCATCCAGCACAGTCCGAAGGTAAACGCCCGAATGCAATCCAATGTGCAGATAGAGCGTGGATCCACCGAACGAGTCCTCCATCGACATGATTGATAAAGCCGAGGGTGCGGCTGTCAAAGCTTGGATGGACTTCATCTCGAGTGTTGAATCAGGGTCCAAGCTAAGAATGCGAACTGTGCAATCATCGCATCCTACAGCCAGGAAAGAGCTTCGCTTCAGGCCCTCCGGTACTTGACCGACGCTCAGCGATGTGACGGTACCCGACATCTCCTTCTTTTCGTCATACTCGGCGAGCGAACCATCCGAGTCCATTTCGAAGTAGACGATTTCGCCAGAGCTCAAGGCGATGACAACCTGATTCTCATTTGCCGTGGCAGCAACAATCGAGCGATGCTGAGGTGCAGGCCATTCATTGACACGACCTTGGACGATGTGGCGAATGCCCTTGGGGTGAACTTGTATCAAGCCATCCTCACCCATTTGCTGCACAGCTAGGGTGGGCGCCGTAGTCAAGAAACCACTATCGCTGACCTCTTCTACCGTCTCGCCAATGCTGAGCACCAATGTTCCGTTTGTGAATGACAGCACAATATAAGCATCGTACTGGTCGTACTTGGTCAACTTAGTCGTCCATACAGCAGAAGGTGTACCCGGAAGCTCTGAAGCGACAATTTCAGACACTTCGAGTCCGTGCTTCAACATGCGGAAAGTACTCCGCGCCCCATTTCCACAGACAGAGTAGATCTGGGGCGCGTCCTCTCCCGTCAGATTCGCAACCTTGCAATCGACCTGAGGGTTCATCGAATCAATGCTCTCAACCAGGACCAGATTTTCAAGTGGCCTGGGGTGGAAGTACACCGGGTTATATGAGGCGGTAGGGTCTGTCGGGAAGTCGTCGCTGCTGAACTCGAGTTCCTCGTCATCGTCCCCGAGCTTTTCAAATTGGTAAAAGTGATGGTTTCCAAACTCGCTAGCGGCAAACAGGAAGCCGCTCTTCAGGATGCAAAGACTGGTGGCTACTGGTATCGTGTCGAAGTACTTGATCTTGAGGCGCTTGACCTCTCCGGTGGGGTTGCCGTCACTATCTTCGATCATGTCAATGGTGACTTTGAAAAGATCTCCATCGTCCGTCTGAAGAAGGAAGAAAAAGGCGCCCGCGCTTCCCTTGAGCTTGTGCATAACGCCAGCGACGATAACCCGCTTCCTCTGAGGATCTTCGGTGGCACCGCTGCGTCTGGGGATGGGGACGCGGAAAGCCTCTTGATTCGAGTGCCGATAGGTGACATTTTCCTCGCCGCACACCAAGACACCGCTAGGACCGTCATTGCCGCCGGGTACTTGGAAGAGAAGTGAAGAAGTGCGATCGACAGTATCTGACCACTTGCGTACGACGTGGTTCAGGCCCAAATCGAGCTCGTAATATACCAGCTGTGTCTCGACTTCTTCTCGTGCTTGGCCCGTAGGATCTTGGTCCGCGTCCGTGTAGTCCAGTTCCAACGCAGCGAAAACGGGGTTTGCGTAACCAACGTCAAGGGCAACAAGAGATAGCACCAACACGCCTGGCTTGTGGGCTTCCAGTGGTGACGAGATTGTAAGCTCGGCCTGTGAGTTTCGGTTGAGAACATAGACCAGCTTGTTCTTTTCGAGTGCCGAAATGAGGCATGCTCTTCCCTTTGGATCTGCGGCTAAGTACTGGCCGGGGATGACTCGGCGGACGCCCGATTTGCCGAAAGTCTCGAGGTGGATGCGCTGAAACTTGTTCGTCTTGGGGAGATACTCGATAATGGTAATACGGCCCGAATCAGTGGCGAGGATAATGTAGTCTGGGTGGCACAAAGTTTTAGCACAATCCCGCTACCGATTTGAATGAGTCTCAAGTCCCCAGAAGACTCGTAGGCCTGGGTGCATGGTGCGTGACCATACGTGTGGCCCCTCTACCCAGAAGCACCTGGGGAACGGATCCAGAATCACTATATTGCCCAACACAGGAGGTGGCGGGGAGGTTACTCACCCTTGTGGCTGCCGGCCAGACGGAACGACGCGATGGCGCGTACGATGCCGAAGATGTCATGAGACAACAGGGTGTTGACCTTGCCCTGACGGGGATCAGGCTGAAGGAGGGTTAGACGCGATCCAGACGCCGTAAGAATCTGCTGTTCCTTGGTTCCCGAGAACTGACCAAGCAGAGCCTGCGTGACAGCGGTGGGTGGCTGGATGGTCAAGGAATACAGGAACATGTTCGACGTAGTCGCCATGGCTGCAACTGGGCGCAGATAGCCGGCGCGGCTCTGCTTTCTCGAGGTTGTTTTTGCAAGTGGGTAGGACTCGGTTGTGCTCTGTCAATGCTGCCGTCGTTATGCTGAGAAGACCAATGCGCGAAAGTCAGCTAGATTGTCAAAAATCTAGAGTTGGATATCGAGTAGATGATTGTAACACGGCAAAAAAAATGAAACACGGTCCAGTGTTCTGGGACTCTGGCGAGGTAGATGGAGTCGGTTGCCGTCGATGGTATTTCTGGCCAATTGGTGCAGTCCAGTCACTCAGGTTGCAGCGGTACGTCGGTCCACGGTAGGTCGTAGACGCCGCCCCCCGCGACTGTGGCTCGCTCGTAGCTAGGTAGGTCTCTGACCCGCATAACGTCAGAGCTTACCTAGGCACAATTGTGGCTGGTGAAGCAAGCACAAGGAAGTGGGTCATTCGATGGACGAGACCCGCCTAGGCACTTGGGTAGGTAGCGAGTCGGGTCGGTGGGAGAGGACCCCGGATTGCTGGGAGCTGCTGCCAAAAAGTCAATTGGAAAGTCGCATCGAGTCCCGGCGATCCAGATTCCCGATCGAACATCATCCGACCTCTTGAACTCCCAATGGCCCTCCCAGCAGACCGCGCCGTGCGTCCGGCCTTGTCCAAGCTTTGCTCGCAATGCTCGACTTTCACAGCTAGACAGAGCAGGCAAAGTGCTGCTTTTTTGCAGTCAGCCCAGCAACGCTCCGTCAGTTCCATCCGCGGGGCACAGAGCTCTTCCTCGTCTTCGACGCAAGTCGGCGGCATCACCAGAACCATCTCGCGTCCGACCCAGGCTTCGATCACAAGCAAGCTTCCTTCCGTTGCTGCCCAGTCCAGACCCAAGGCCAGCAGCTCGACATCGTTTGCCACCAACGAGGATCTGGCCGGTAGTGGTATCCCCTCGAAGCCGATTCTCGAGCAGGACAACCTCTTCCACTCCTTCACCAACTCGCCCATCCCCAAGATCCGCCAGCGCGCGGCCTTCATAAGACAGCACGCCAGCTGCCCCCACCATAGTCACCGCCCAGGGCAGTTCTCCGAGACCAACCGCCAAGTCGATACCGAGTCTGGCTCCCAGCCGCCGAAGCACGTCGATTTCGAGTGTCCTGACTGTGGCATCCCGGTATATTGCAGCGAGCAGCATTGGATGGACGACTATGAGAAACATCTCGAGATATGTGACACTCTGCGACAGATCAATGAAGATGACCATGACCTCCATTCAGGCCGCCACTTCTACGAGTTCAACTACGCCGGTCCGCAAATGGATGATGCCATGGTCAACATGACCAACTGGGACACGTTCATGTATACCCGTCAGTTCGAAGCTGTCAACGATGACCGGTGCATGAGACAGGCGACTAGGTTGTTGACCTATCCTCTCACGATCGGCAGCGTTCTTCATGAGTTGAGCCCGTACCACATCCGGAATCGCCTCACCGTCGAGGGCTTGAAGAGTTTGACGGCACTTCGCTATACCCTGCATCCTCCCAAGACTGGAGGCAACGAGTCTATCAAGGGTCTCCGGCCTGAGGCGCCCCCCGTGCGTGTCTTTATTCTTGGTGCTCGCGCTGAGTCGTCGCTGCCTAGAGATGCCTGGGTGCAGTTGGCCCATCTCTTCCCCCTGTCGAGACTCCATCTGATTTTCATCGGACCCGAGAGCATGATGAACCGCGATGACGAATTTCCCCTCCCGCCTCGTACTCCCGAGAACCCTTACGGTGCGGTGGTGGAGGACCGCGTATGGCCTACCATGAAGATCAGCACCATTGTGGATTATTACCATACTATCCACAAGACGGGTTATTTCGCTCCTCACGACCCTTACTTCGACTGCTTCGTCCTCTTCCACCCTGGTTTGGGCCACCCGGCAAGCTCCCACGAATGGGAGGAAACGCTGCCTATGCTTCTCGAGACCAAAGCTCCTATCATTGCTACGGGCTACACGCAGGCTGACATGGAGCGTGATGTCGAGTGGGTCAACAAGAAGGCCAAGGGTGAATTCGACATTCTCATGGAGCCTGGCGAGAACATCTTCCGCAGTCTCCGGTGGGATCTGAATGATCTTGACCCTCAGGACGTCAGTGCCGGTAACTGGGGTGTGTGGGCCTTCCGCGGAAAGAGGTTGGTGCTCTCTTGATTTTTTTTTTCCCCCGCACAACTAGATATGGTTTGAGTGCTAACAGAGTTTTTAAGGTACGAGGCTACCGTCAAAGACAACGTCATTGCTGTATAGATGAGCCATGCGTATGCTGGTCGTTGCATCCTGTAAGATGTAGTAGGTGTTGGCAACCGGACTGTTAGGAGCCCAGACTGTATAATAGGAATATCGAACAAACGCATTGTCACGACCATATCGGCTGTTTACGCTTCAAGACTTTATGGTATCATTTCCGTTTCTAACGGCACGGGCTGGATGTTACGGATGTCGGATCCAAGGTGTGTGTTCAAAATCTTGTGGACTGCACAGTCTGATAGTCTCATAGTTGTGGGCCTAGGGAGGCACTGATCTGCAACGGTCAGGCTCGGGCCGCATGCAGCAAGTGCCTTGTGTCACGGCAGTCTGCTGTGGCAAGGGTGATGACAGCTTGAGCCTCATCGACGACAGACGGTTTTTTTTCAAGAACTTTTTGTCCGTCTCACGCAGCACCTTGCACCGCGCAGTAAATTTCGGTCAACGTTTGTCAAGCGAAGTGCAACGATAACAAACTTCAGGTGTGGAGATTCCTAATCTGCCAGCAGTATGTATCCTTGGTAAGAAACGAAAACTGCCCATATGCTGGAAGATAACTCGCACCGACCTGACTAGAGTTAGAGGAATTTGAAAGCGGTCGAGGACGTGGTGCCGCCTTAGCTGCGTAAGTCAAAGGTGTGTGCTTTGTTGACATTCATTCAGGGGAAGCTCGACGACTTCAAGGGGTGATCGGTTTCCATGCTACGGGCAACGACCATGCTTGGTCTTGGCTAACCTCACCGCCTACCCGTTTCGGACAGGTAGTGGCTGATAAGCGGCAAGGTGCTTCCTTATCACCTGGGCTACTGCCGCTGCTGGCTGGAGTCGCCATCCACCACAGGTGCGGGACAGGCGTGGACCAACACAAGACCGGACCACTCGCTACCTATCAACATGCACCCAGCACCACCTGTTCACCAACCACTGCACCGCGCAACATTGCAATCACACTTTGCCGATTTTCTCTTGTCTTCCGCCTCTCGCGCTTCAAAGAGCTGCCAGGCTCTGAATTGTCATAAAGAGTGGACGGCGCTATGATATGAACGGGTGCGCGCGGGGCACAATGTTTGGACACCGCTAGTTGGCCCGTCATGACAACTGCCTCGACTGCCTCGACTGCTGCTGCTGCTGCTGCTGCTCCCACTTTCTCTGCGCCCTCTGCGCCCTCTGCGTCCCCTGCGGTCCCTGTCACTGCACAGAGTCAGGGCCCCGCTCCCACTCGTCTCTCAACCCCACGACCAAAGTCGCCCAGGACGAGCTCAGAACCATCGTCGTCGACAAACAACCTGAAGGCCGGCACCAGGTCACGGACCAAACGGGGATCGCCGTCGCCCCAGTCCAACGCGCAGCGGACAGACCCCCTTTCTGACAAGGCCACCGTTTATCTGATCAGGCGCATCTTGTGTCCTCAACACCAGGACAAGGGCAAGACCCCGCCGGTATCGATTGAGGATGTGCTGCCGCCTCTGACCAGTCGGAACGATGTCGACCTGCAGCTGTACGCACTAATCGCCATCATCCTCCGGGAATATGTCCAGAACTGGTACAACAAGATCACCCCCGACGACTCGTTTGTCGCCGAGATCGTCCAGCTTATTGCCCATGTCACTAGAGCGCTTGAGCAGCGCCTTCGCAATGTCGACCTCGAGAGCTTGCTCCTAGACGAGCTGCCCGATCTTCTCGACAGGCATGTCACTGGTCTGTTGTAGCTCCACCAATGAATTTCGGGTTCGCTGCTAACTTGTTCCGTCCGATCAGCCTATCGAGCAGCTCACAATCCCATCACGCAGTCTCCCCTTCAGACAAATGCGCGCGAGATCTATCACGCTCTGTGCCCCCTGCCCGCTCTGTCTCCCGTCCCGTGCTCAGGAAGCCCGGAGAGCGTAGCTGAGCAAGCCGAAAATGAGGCGGCCTATCGTCAGCTGCTGGTTCATGCTGTTCTTGCCGTACTCTTGCCCACTGAGGATCTCCAGAACGACTGTCTTGTGGCCCTGGTTGGCCAGATATTATCAGAGCTGATAATCGGGAATATTCTGGCCAACAAGCTGTCAGAGCCTTGGTTCATCTGGGAATGTTTCTCGATAGCGTCCAGCGTTATCACACGGCGCAGATCTGCCGAGCATGAGCCTCTGCCCCGAAGGAAGAGCAAAGTACCGCTACAGGCCCGCACTTCGTCGTCGGTCCAATCGATTCAGGCACTGTTCTGGACCATCGTTCATTGGATCCTTCTCACGATATCGTTTGTGAGGGTGGCTATCACTATCTTGATCACCTCCCACTCCCTACCACCTCGTTCATCGCGCAGCACGACCGCATACGAGAAAGTGGCGGCTCACCATACGACTCGAATGGACCTCGAAAAGCATGCCGGTTCGTCCGATGTTGAGTTGGAACGCTTCAGGACACCCGTTTTGGCATTCAGATGCTGGTCAGCAATATCCAACTTGATCGAGATGGACGGCCGGATGCCGTGGCTCAGCGGCACAGTGGTCATGTTGCAGTGGATCATGATGAGAAGCCCTGGAAGGCTGGGTGGTGTTGATGGGAGCATTGACAGGTAGGTCAGCCTCTTCTTTCCTTGTCCTTTTCCCTCTCTTTCCTACTCCCTTCTGCACATTCGACTGTTGCACCGCATGATTGTCAAGTCACTGGATCTGGACGCGTACCCACCCATATCGAAACTGGTGCAAGTGCACGCAAGAGACTGGCAACCATCCCAAGAATTGCAAGGAGCGGCCAACCAAGGCATATTGATTGAGTGCCGGAGCTTGGGCCACAGAGACGAGGTCAGCGGGCGCGATGCATCTACCAAGGCCAAGCTGCTACAAGGCATTTGGGTAAAGGCGGGTGTTGTGGAACACACCCCTAAAACACCCTGCGGCCGAATCGGCGACCACCGGACCCCAAGTGTTCCAATCCCACGATACATGCATTCGGAACGTCCAACTGCAGCCAGCCAATCATGGTGGGATGTGGCCTTGGCCATGTCCCATTGCACCATGGGCTTCGTGGGGCTTACTAGACGGACCATCGACGAGCCTTGTTTACGCGCCGGATGGGATTATTGACAAGGATCCGACACCCCTCCTCGACCCATTCTCATCATCCAGGTTCAGGAGACAGACTACCAGAAGCATCCGGCATCGAGATCACTTTCCGCCAGAATTCCGCTTCATACCACACCCCACCGTTGGCCGTGTCCGTCGCCAGGCGCAATCATACAGCGACATTCTGCCATACGCTGCGATATTCATATGGAACTTGCCCTTTTCTGGATGGACTTGTCTTTGTCCCCGGCCTTGAAGTCTTGGATATCTCGGTAATTCGAACAAAACAGCCGTCCCCATGACCGGTCATCTCGTCTCGGTATCTCACTGCCAATCCATCCTTCTTCTGGACTGCTCGATTGGCGCGCAATCTGCGACTCAGAATCCACGATGGAGGATCTGCTGATCAGATATCTGCGCTATTCCGCAAGGTGTATCGCGCCTGAGCGCTTTTTACGGCACGCTAGGCACCACGATGCTTTGGCACAGAGAGCTTGCTTTTCGACCACCCCTCCTCGTGCTCGCAAGCCTACCGTTCACCCCAAACTGGGGCCGTCACTGTCTCTTGCACTGTGCGGCGGTCCAGTTCCCATGGATCTCGGGGAAGGAACGAAATTGGTGAACAGCAGGGTTCTTGCCCAAGTGCCCTCTTCACGACCCATGGCCGATGGACCTTGTCACCAATGTCAGCATCTCCCCATCGAGCCTTGGTCTTCCTGTTCCCCGCAGTCACAATGGAAGTGAGGAGCTCGTCCTCGCGCTTCCATCTGTGGCTAGGACTAGCGGATCATGTTATTACCAGGGGTTGAGCTCACGAACATGGTGTTACGATCGTTTCCCAGCTCGGGCCTTCACGGCGGTGTCATGGTGGTTTGTTGATACGAGCTGCCCTGGTTCGTCAGCATCTACGGCCTTCGACTCGTTCCCCCCCCCCCCCCCCAATACCATGAGATACACGGTCCATAATATGATGTGAGACATTATTCTCGACAGCGGGAATTCTGTTCATGGAATACTGGCAGTTACTCTCACTCTTAGACATGCCCGAGCCCGTTATCCTTCAATCAAACGCTGCACGCGCATGGATACACTCAAAAGGGACACAAACACTGGTTTGCGCGCACCATACACACCGCCGTACTCCTCCCACTCAGTTCCCGTTCTCGAGTGTTCTGTTCCCCCCACTTAATGAAACACCATACCTCCATTACACACCCCTTTCCCCCTTCAAAGTCCCCCAGAGCATAGAAGCGAGATATCTTCCGAGTATTACACACACAATGTGCACCAGAAAGAAGCAAAGAATCGCAAAAAATGCACATGTCCCGTTCAGGCAAAGAATACCGGACCGGCCAATAACTAGCAGACAAGCCGTTTTACTTACCATAACGATTCAATCATAGGCTTCTATCTTACGCAGTCCACAAGTACATCCTTGACCCATCAGGTCTACCCCCACTTCTCCGCAGTGTGCGAGGCGCACTCTTCCCCAACAACCTGCCAGGGATCTCGAGTCTGACGGCACCCTCGTCTGAAGACGAGCTGCTTGCGCTAAGGCGCAGGTGTGCTAAGGATCTTTGGGCGCTAATTTCGCCTGGATTTATGGCAAAGCTCCTTGGGTCCGTTTATTTCAGTGGCCGTTGCGGATTTGGCGGCAATTCTAGTCTCAAAGCCACGGCCGCGTGCCCAAAGGCCAGGCCAACTGCTACTGTTAACACTGGTAGTACTAGCGCGCCCATGGTGGTAAGTGAAGAGGATGCCGAAAAGGGAGGCGCACTAGCCGGTGCTTCTCGTTCTACGACCAGTCGGGGAGCAAGCAATGTCGGTTCTGCCACTGTCCAGCCTGCTGCTCCTCAAAACTCATCACAGACGCCGAAGCAGGATCAGACACAAATGGAACAGATGCGGAGCGGGAGCGGACCGAAGAAAGGCGGCCTAGATCAGGGCCAGCAGGCGGTGGTTCCTGGTTATGCTAGCACTACTGGCGGCCCAGTCCCAACTCATCAACAGGGGTCAGGGTCGTCTGGATCGCTCTCCTCGTTATCGTCTGTTGCCCCTGCCCCTGGATTTAGAGCTGGGCCTGGGTCTGGCCTTGGCCTTGGGTTTGGCCGTAGAGGGCCAGCATCTTCGGCAACAGCAGCAACCATTACTACCAGTTCCGATCCCCGGTCAGGTAGCAACAGCAGCAGCTCTAGTACGGGTAATAGTCGGAGCAGTAGCAAGCTGTCTCTTACTGGAGGTGGTAGCACTAACGATGCCGCCATCCGCGCAGCAGCCTCAGCGACCAAGACCAAACTAGCCAAGAGGGTGGAGGACCAACACGCTCATGTTGTTGAAGTCCATTTTCAGCAAGAGCTTGACGCGAATGCAGATGCAGAGGCAGGTGATATACACGCCGCTTCTGCATTCGCTGCCACCGGCGGTCAAGCTCACGTTGATGATGCTGACGATGATGTTGACGATGGAAACCCAAATGAAGAGACGATTTTGACAGAAATCGAACAAGGAATTCTAGATGTGTTTAGCGATGCCTATCTAAACAAGCATCTGATTTACTCCATACTGGAGTTGATCCTGGTGCGGTTGATGCCCGAATTGGCGGAGAAGAGGGTTAGCGAGCTTTGGGAAGAGAGGCTTGCTTGAAATGGGGATCGAATAAGAGTACCGAATAGGGTTTGGTCGTTGTTCTCGCGAGACTTGTGTCTGTCAATGTTTTTGGTTTGTGTGTTCGTAACAACAAGCAGTCTAGTTTTTGGGGAGAAAAGAAGGGGGGGGGGGTGCGAGTTCATGGGTGCTCACAATGTCAACAGCAAGAAAATACGCTAAGAGAAGGAGCGATGCACGGGCAATTTAGATGTGGGAGTGTTACGCATCACCCCTGGAGAGTTCGTTAGCGTGGTACTTGCAGAGGGCTATTTTGCCACTTTTAGGCTAGTTAGGTAACATTCCTGACCTGCACAGCACCCGCCTGGTTCGTTGTTGGCCGCCGTGAATGGAGTCAAGTTTTGGTGCATGTGTGTGGGACACTCGGTGGGACACGATCAATCGTTGTTCTGACCCTGGTTGTAGCGAGGTTTGGGCTAATATGATGGTTCAAGGTCCCTGTTCTCTCCCTTGTTCGAAGACGCTGTGAGTCTCACTAACAAACCTCGAAGGGTTGATCTATATACCAACATGCCCTGATATGCTAACATATACTAACGGTGGCTATCGATGGTTCTTCATCGGAAAAGCCCTCATTTAGCCGTTGTTTCGTTCCATTCCTGCGTCCAGATTCCCGTCCGTTCCCCCATCTGCCTGACCCCTTCGCTCCGACGTTTGGGTTGTCCTTCACGGAACAACTATGCTAGTTCGGGTAAGCATAAGTAGGGGAAATATGAGAGAAGTCCTTGAAAGAAACAAAGAGTGGAATGTGGAAAAAAATGCACATCAACCAAGTAACTGAAGTTCTTCCCACTCAACAGAGCCATAGAGATCCGAAAAATATTCGCACACGACCCGGGACTTAAAGCTTCCCGAATTTCCTCAATTTTTGAAGCAAAGGGTAGGTGTGAAACAAATAGCGAAGAAGTACAGATGACACGCCCTATACCACACTGTACACATCCTGAAAAGGCTTGCCAAAAGCAGTGCCTTCATTTTTCTTTCTTTTCGCGTCTGTCCAGTTTCACTGCGTCCATACTGAATCGATACCGTTGTTAGTCGCCAAAGTCGTACTTTTTTCCCCTCCGCCCCAAGGTCCTCACAATCATCCTTATTACCAGGACAGCTGAAGAGGGCTATGTTCTGGTTCCTCCCAGACGACGAGTTTTTCACACTCGAAGGAGGGAAGTGGGTGGGCAAAAAAGATACATGTGACGGATTTGTGACAGGTCGGTAAAGGGGTCAGCTAAGGCGATCAAACATGAAATATGGAATGGTGATACCCAAAACAAGAGACCCGTCAAATATACATAGAGAAGTTGCGGACAAAGATTGATATAGTGAACATGATGAAACATGGTTAAGCCAGGATAAGCATGGGAAAGGTTGCAGGCGACGGCGTGGTTTCTCTGGATGATGCTTCGAAACAGAGAGACCCGCGGTCAAACGAGACAAGACAGACCAAACAGAGCCAAGGATGAAACTGGAGGCTAGATCTTCAAAGGCGAGCAAGATGGGACGATAACATAAAGAACAAAAAAAAAAAAAAAAAAAAAAAAAAAAGAAAAAGGCCGAGTGAAATCACAGCCGAATAGCTGGGAAGAGGATCTTTGACTCCTTATTCGCGTGAGCGTTGGTTCTTATCGCAGCGTGCGAGGTATATTGGCAACTCCGTCAATCAAAATGATAGCAGCAAAAAAAAGGGGGGTATAAGAAGATGTTTCTAGAAGAAGAGAGGCAGGGAATGTGCAGGTGAATATAGAAAGACCAATTTTGAACCGGTCGTCTCCTTGAAGAAAACAGAAGCCGAGCCAGACAGACTTCTTAGTTTCCGGGTATTCCTTGCGATTCATGCCGCGGTGATGGATGGCATCGAAAGCGATCTGTCTGTAGCTCGTTCAGCAATCCTGATGGGGATACAGAGTTTTGAGGTCCGGGCGGTTTTGAGACGGCAATATGGAATCTCTGAACGTCCAATCCAACTTTACGTCCCCATGGCCTGTTCCACTTTGGGTATCGAAGCTGCTTCGGCGTTCTGCATCTCACTATCGCCCTCTGGTATCCGAGAAAGCCCACCCATTCCCACTGCTGTGTTCTTGGCAAGTTGTGCCTGGTGAAGCCGCAGTTTCTCGGTGAGTTTAACAACAGTCATGTATTCATCGTGGTCCACAAATCCACCTGAATGCTGCATGAATGAAAGCAGGGTGTCTGCAGCCCTTCTTGCGTCCTCCTGAGTAGGAGAAATCGGAGACGTAGGGTTTGCGCTAAGCGGTGTAGCGATCGACCGTCCAGCGAGACTTCCACTGCTGCTACTGTGACGGAGTCGTGGTGAGGTGATTATGTGATCCATGCCAAAGTGCGAGGCGCCTACTTCATTGGCAGGCGACTCAAGGGCCGAAGAAGGTCCCGTGGGCGACACATGATACTTTGGCGTCAACGAGTCCCCTGATTCTTGTTGATTTAGGTATTCGAGGTCCAAGGTTGGGAATGTCTGGCTTCTTGGTCTTTGGAAGTTGGACCCGACACCGCTTCCCGGCGGGAGCTGCCTGGCTTGATCTGCTGTAATAAATGCTCCGGCATTAGGATCAGGCGAAAAACTGAACGATGCTGTTGGGCTAAGGGTGCTCCCAGAGAACGTTGAAGTTCCCGCGTCAGTAAATGCGCTATGTAACGAGGTTGTGCTGTGTGAGCCCGAGTGCTTGTAGCTGCTTTCAGTTGGATAGTCCATGTAGGTCGCCATGTTATCCTTCTCCCCTTCGCTTCTATTCGCCGATAGTGTAGATGGAGACGTGTGTCCCGAAGGGGAGAGGGGGGAAATGGCACTTGACGGTTGTGATGTGCTCAAGGAGGGCGATCCTCGCATGCTGCTACTGATGTTGGCTTCGGAGGCACGACGAAGTAGCCTATTCGGCCCAATGTTGTGTTTAAGCATGAACTTGTCCAGCCATGCTGTGCTTCCGGACTTGAGAAAATCATCTTCCGTGACACCCATGGTACTTGCAAACAAGTGCGCCTTCTCTTTGATCAGTTCGGCAGTTACTGGAACGCCTTTGCCCTGAGACTTTCGGAAAAAGTTGGTCAGAGCCTTTTCGACATCCGCGCCCTTGACTTTGTTACGCTTAATCGGAGAACTGCTGCGGTCCTCGAGATTCAGATACTTATCCCTGTGGCGCAGTACCTTGGACACGGTGCTAATAAAAGGTTGTCAGCTTAACTAGGTTCCGCAACCGACACGAACTACTACAGATCATGACCTACCTTCTCTCAACACCGAACTGAGCTCCGATATCCGTTTGCTTGGCCGTCGGATGATCCATAGCATACTGACACATACGCCGACGGTCCTCGTCGGTGAGTGTTTTCCTGGGCTGTGATGTTGTCTGGATAGCTGGCAGTTTGGAGTTCTTGAGCGGTGTTGTTACCGGGGGGATGGCGACGGGCGGGACAGGGTGTGAACCGTATGTTGGATTCGTCAACATGCTCGGCCAAGTCGTCGTCGTTTGGGGCATCATCAACATTGGAAGAGGAGGGTGAGAATGTTGATGAGGTTGAGGTACATGATGCTGAGGAGGCGGGGGAGGAGGCATCCTGCCTAGTGACTCGGAGGGCAGCCCATGAGAGATCGGTGGCATATAACCACCGTAGCTGCCGCCGTAGTCCGGCATGGTGGTCTGGTGGTGGAATGGGTTCATATCCACCCAATTGTTGTTTCCATATGTGTTGTTGTCATGAGCGATGTGACTGCCTTGGTCCATGCCTATCGTGCCAATGATTTGATCGTGCATGCTGGCGACAGATGTGATGAGCTGAAGCAATATCGTTGGTGGTTGTTGAGATCAGTTTTTCAAGACGAGCCGCTCGGTTGAAGGGACCGAGTATACTCTCTTTCTAGCAGGAGTAGAAAGTGGTCCGTCAATATGGGGGAGCTGGTCGGGATGTCTAGGAGTCGCGGTGCATAATATGACGAGCCAATGGTTTCCAGAACGGGATCGGTAATGGGCTGGCTGGAGAGGGGTCGCAAGCCCCAAGAACGCCTGAGCGGTGCTATTGTGCCGGGGCTGCAGAAGCGTTTGGGGGTAGGATAGCCGGGTATGGGACCGTCGAGGTGGCCGTTGAGTAGATCAACTGCACCAGACAGGTCTTGGAGTGGGCTGGCTGGACGAAAAAGGCGGCGGGCAGCAAGCAGTGCCTCTTGTCAGGTTAATGAATGAGCGTAGCGTAGTCGGCAGAGTCGGCTGGATGGCCCCCAACCTGATAGTGTCTGGTCTGGTATCCAAAAGAGAGCTGGAGGCTAGGAGAAGCAGTCGAGGTATGTACTGTGTAAGCCCTGTCCAGATTCCTGCCGCGAGATGGTGCTGCAGCGGGCAAAGCAGCGTGACCGTCCGGTAGCCGATGAGACAAAGGGCGGATCAGTTGCTTCTTTGGGCGGCGTAAACTGCCCTATGTGTGGAGGTAGGTCGAGTGCTAATGACGCCCGGTGCTTGCTTTAGCTAGAGGACTGGGTGACTGGGATGGATGGGCGGGTGGATGAATGGGAATCGAGGTCCAAGTTCAGGTCGGCAGAAGGGCTCTCTCTATGGAGGAATCCGTGGTATCCAGAGCGGGCAACAGCAGCAGCAGTTGCATCGACAGCAGCCGTGGGCAGCAAACAAGGGGAGCCGTGCCAGTAGGGAGAGAGGTCGGCTGCAAGACAGACGCCGCTACGTCCGCCTAAGCAATCGGGACTCTGGAAGAGGACTGGGCTGGGTTGAGATAGGGTAAGTCGGAGAGACCAGACGCACATGAGACAGGCATGTGGGTGGTGGAGGGCAACCTGGGGCTACATCTACTAGTTATGTAGGCGAAGAAGGATGTTTGTGTATACTCGAGCAGGGGTGCAGATGAGTGGATGGGGACCTACCACTCTACCAGGCAGCCAGAAAAGAAGCTAAGAAAAATTCGCCCCGAGGGGGGGGGGGGGGGGGGTTTTTTTTCCCCCGGGGACCCCCCAAAAACAAGGGGGGGGGGGGG